CAGCACTAGCAGAAGCAGTATAGTATGGTGTCCCATGCGCAGGTCCGTTCACCGTTCATTCGTTGGGTGGGCCGGTCCGTACGCCGATGCTTTGTTCGGCTGTCGTTCAGTTGATGTCCTTCTGCAAACCGCTGCTCTGTGCTCACTTCACTATGCTGCTGCTTCTTTTCTCTGCCTGCCGCTGCCTTGCCAGCGGTGATGGGCTCAGGCGCCATGCTGCGGCTCAACCCCCTCTTGCTTCCCCATCAACTCCGTTTGTCTCTTACGCCGCACCCCAGAAACTTCCCATTATCCTCACTGTCTGTACCCGCAACACCAGCACTGGCACCGCTGTCGCCGCCACCACTACCACCATCATCACACTCAGCTCCATCCCTATCTAACGCTAGCAGAGGAGTCAGTTTAGGGCTGGGGCAAAGTAGGGGTAAAAGAGAAAGCCAGCAGCCAGCCAGCCATCGTGCCCTGAAACGGCAGTGGTGGTAGCCTGGCGTTATGTCGATGGAGGTTCTCTTTTCTCCCTTTTCCATGAGTAGCAGAACAGCTAGGTCGTGGCCGCCGGCGCCAACACCCTCGCGCCGTCGACACCAGCATCGTCGGTAGCAACGACAGTGAAGGCAGCAAAACGGCTGGCTTCGACGAGGTTGACTCCAGCCGCCAATGGTGTTCATAGTGGTTCTGTTGATGACCCTTTCCCAGTTAGAGGTAGTAGTGGTTGCAGTGGAGGCAGGAGCAGCAGGCTGGCGGGAGCTTGAAACGGCAACTTACCATCATAGTCTCTAGCATTATTGCGGGTCTTCTATTACCTCGCTGCTGCTGTTGGCGCTTCTGCCGCCATTCAGTCACGCTGAACTCCCCTTCTAGATTCCCTGCTGCTGCTGCTTCTGCAACAGTAGCATCAGCTACTTCTCCTTCCTGTTTCTTGCTATCGCACTGCTGTCATGCTATTGGGCTCAGTCAGCGTTAGCCATTACCAGGCCACTGTGTCGGGGTCCTTACGTAAATGGCCTCCGTATTGTGGCCCTTCCCCCAAATCGTCTTCCACCCTGTTCTCCATTCACTGTTCTCTCTTTCCCACTAGTCCTTCTTTTTCTTTAGCATTCAACCGCCAGATTCCCTCGCATTACTTCCCTTAGCTAACCTAACCCCATATATAGTTGCTTGCTCATTCGCTAGTTTTTCTCTTTACGTGTCATTTTCTTTCTTTTCTCATCGCCGTATCGTCTGTCTTCGGTACTTTTCTCAGCTGCCTCCCTCATTTTTTTGCTCCTCTAGCCGGCGACTAGGGAGCTGTCCGCCGTTGCTTTTATCCTAACCACGAACAACCATTCGCCCACCCCCCAGATAGTTGGTTTGCTCAGCCGCTGCTCGGCCCGTTTCTCTATGTCGGCTTTGGGCTGGGTTAGCTCGGCGATAAAAGGGAACGAGGGAGCTTACTGGGCGATGGCGGCTTCCTGTTTGACTCTTGGAGGGGCCGGGCAGAGCTAGGTTGTTCTGAGCGTTATGGGGGGTGCTTCTTTTCTTCCCTTTCCCATTCAAACACCCAACCAACCAGGCAGCCGACCAGCCAACCAGCTCTACGTAGCAGCACAACTACTGCTACTACTGGTTCCTGGTCCATGACCAGTACAGTACACGTGATAGCAAGCGGGGCTGAATGTGGCCAAAGAACCAAAGTGGGTCGGATCTGGGGCTGCACGGCACTGGCCGGACTGGGCCACTGGGGCGATAAAGACCCAGCGCAGAACCTAAGGAAAAGCAATGGATAGGAGCAAGAGAAAGGGATTTGTAGCTTGCTTACCCCGTGAGGCGGGCAGTGAGGGAGACCGCCTCAACGTAAGCGACTACGTGTGTGTGTGTGTGTGTAAGACATACACTTCTTGCTGATGGTGGATAGGCCGATGATGTTTGAGTGTGTGCTTATTTAAATGTACGTCTGTATGTGTGCGTGTATGTGTGGCAAGAGGGGCAGAGCTTTGAAGTTTAAAAGATGTCGCCGTTGTTATAGTCGATGTCGTCGTACTCGTCGTCCTGTTCCTCCTTCCCTCGCTCTCCGCCATTTATATCTGCCATTCCCCTTCCGCACGCCCGCTTCCCTTCCTTTAACCCCGGCATTGCCCTTGCGCAAAGAGCTTTTCCGGTTCCCCGTATGTACCGTGTCCACGCTCCACGCCCCCTTACGCCCGGTTTCCTCTATCGTTGCTAGTAGTGGCGTAGTGACGGCCCACGTATAACCTTAAAAGTGGATACGTATGAACCAACGATCTACGAGGCAGCGAAACGCCGGCCGGTGTGATCGCTTCAAGCAGCCGTAGGAGGGTAGTACGGGGTGTAATGGTGTAGGGCTCTGCCTGTCTGCCTTACGCCACTGCTGCCGTTGCAATACTAGTTGGTAATTCTCTCATATCTCTCGTTACTGCTGCTGCTTTCCCGCCGGTCCAGCCACTGCCTCGCGCTGCTGCCACCGTGGGTGGGTCGTGGCCAAGTTTCCGTCAAGATTCGTTCGCTGGCTTGCAATCCGTCCGTTTGCCCGTTTGCCTTGTCATTGTCGGTGCTTTACTATGTTTTATCTGGGTAGCTAAAGGGGGAACGCCGAAGTCGGCTATTGGATTGATCTCAGAGGAAGGACAGGGGCAAAGAGAAGGCTCTATGAGGGACTGAGGGTTTTCGCTCCTTCGAACGGCAGCGGCAGGCCGCCGTTTGTAGGGCGACGTCGCTGCTGTTTCGGACGAACTACTGGCCCAAATGCCCTCAATGTTTCTTTACCCAAGGTGAACGAAAAGGAGACAGGGGGAGAGAGAGAGAAAGAGAGAGCTGGGAAAGGAACAAGAAATGCATCGAATCAGCCTGGCCAATTCCACCCTAGTACGATCTGAGCTGCAACTCTTGAGGCGGAGGGACATGGAGATATATGCCCGCCAGCTGGGCGCCAGCTAGGGGGCCTAACACACGCTGTCGCTTCAGCATGGTTAGCATGGCTACGGCTATGAGTTTGGGCGTTAGCGTCGCAGCCCGCCATGGCTCTAAGCATGGACTTAGTAGATAACAGGACCCTCTTTCTCTGCCACCTGAAAGTAGCAGCAGGGCGGCGGCGTCAGCAGCTCGGCAGTAAGGACGACAACTACATACAACGATGGTATCTGGCATCTAGCTAGCAGGGGGACGGGCAAACGTGCGTCCAACTGGGAAGCTCACTACTGCTTTCTGCCGACAGACATCTGCGCCTGTCTACGCGGCACAAGCAAATCAAGCCAAGCCAACCCAACCCAACTCCACTCCAGACTGGGGGACTAGGGAGAGGCACTCCGGCAGAGGCGCTGTGCCAGCAAGCAACGGCGGCAGCGGACTCCGAGCTGAGCTGCTCTGCTGATGCAACTCCAAGGCGCTCCGAGAACTCTGGCCGTTCCATCGGCCAGTGGTGCCGCTGTGGCGCTCCACCTCTAGCCTGTCCTGTACGCAACTCCTCGGACGAGTTCTGTTAGTTCATAAACGTAGCAGTGGGTCCGCCCTATCATAGCTGAGTTGGCTGGCTCAGGATGACATTGCACCAGCCTGATCTTAGGTGGTTCCTGCTGGCCTGGTTAGCTTTTGCTGGTCGTAACTGGCAGTCGGACATCGCGAACCGTCTAGCATGCTGTGCGCCACGTTCAATCTAACCTGCGCAGACTATTACGCCTGCCAAACGACTCTGATGGGGGTACTTGGCGGCTCCTCCCAGCGTGTAGGGGAGCTTGTTCCCGGCTACGATTAGGACATCGACGAATGGCGGAACTGGGGCAAATGAAGGGACACGGCCAGGGGAAAAGGGAGGTAAGCAGTGTGAGGAGATTGGCAAGGCAAGAGCGCGGGCAAAATCTTTGCTGTGGCTGCCGCCCCGAAACAGGGGAATCTTGAGGAGAACGGGAAGCGGCTATATGGAACAGTCTCTGGATGGGGTGGTAACGATGACGTTGTCGTCGCCATCAAAGGATCGATAGCATCAACATACGGCGAAGCTTCACGAGCACTGCTGTCTGCTGTTTCGCGCTCGCTGCTGCTGGTGAGGGCAGTGGCAGAGCTGCTTCCTTTCTATAGCAACCAACAAGCTGAGCCTCATGGTCCCGGCGTGCTTTGTATCACAGGTGGATGCTGAAACGGGGTCGTGTCTGCGATATAACATGGCCAAGGATAAGACACAAACGGGGAAAACTAGGGGGCTCGAAAGGGCTAGATGGCAGTGGGACAACGCCAAAGAATAGGTTAACGTGAGACAGATCGCTGGTTCCTGCCAACGTGTAGTGTACGTCGCAGGGTCGATCGGATACTAGAATGCATCTCGAAACGGAAGTCTATGATAAAGATGAAGTTAATGGATCAAGGTTCACTGGCAACGTTATTCTGAAAGCGCTACATAGCATCGAGTTCCGTGTGGTTCTTGACGAGGAAAATTGTGTAATTACGTGTGAAACAGACCGCTGAAAACTAGAAATTACGATCATCATTACCTCATACTATTTGACTAGACTTAAGTTGGGTCTCCTAATAAAAGGCAAGTAGTCTTAACTTAAGCACATTTATAGCTGTAGTATTGAAGGACCAATTAGTTTACAGTGCTATATTGTGTATTTTTTGTTGAACTTCTCGTGGAAAGATTGTTTCCTTAAAGGAATAAGAAGTTCAATCATGCGTAATTTCGTTATATTCTCGCAACTAGCGGGATCGTGGGAAAATCGACGGAGCGTGGGACTCGTCTCAGATTCCGCAAATTATGACTGCCCTCCAAATAACTTATTTGTAAACAACAAGGACAGGAATGTTCAGAGAGGTCAAACAAACATATGTCTGCTATTGTGCGATTTATTTTCTATTACCATCGAAAGGAGGACGCAGAGTCAAACTGAAGCGAAAGTGATATATACGTAATATTGCGAAATACCTAACGCATGAGATCCGTTGCAGACCGTGGGAGAGTAAAACTAACTACTTTTCTTATTTGTCTGCGTTTGCAACCGCTCAAAATGCAGCGTACAATTTCAGGATTCTGAATGAATTTACCCTAGCGAAGTTAGCTCGTGCGGTCAGGCGATAGGACACCCCACGTTGAAAACAAGATGACCAGCTAGATGAAGGTACGACAAACGATATCGAATGGAAGCTTATTCATTGTGTGCCAAAATCATAATCGTATATTTCTGGATTTAATAACATCGAACTTTGTGATTTCCAGGCGTGCTGCCTGCTTCTTCAGCGCCACGTAGCCACGTAGCGCGAGGAAGCGGAATATCTAATATCTTGCTCTTTTTGTCTTTTCGTTTAGCAGACAGATGTTCATGCGACAAAGCACCGTTCACGGTCTGATAAACGCCAGAATTTCTCGTAGCACTTAGTTGACGGCGACCCTATCGTGCCAATCGATGGGGTGACTACGTAACGCCTAAATGCAACTCGATGCGTCGTAATGGGCAGCTAAATAGTGCACACTCTGTCGCGATGCCGGCCCAGCTTCTCGACAACACCATTTCTTAATCTAGTCTTCCATTTTTCTTTGTCTTAGCCCTCAGTTCCCTTTCAGCAAACAGGACGTAAGGCTTGACTATGATTTGACCTCAGACAATTGCCCCGGCAAAAATGCATCTAACGTAGACTCACATCTTCCTATCAGCAAAGTTTCGGACCGATCTTGGATCATAACCTTTTCCTTTATCGCCTTCTTTGTTGTGAACCGTTTTGTTGCAGGATGCGTGACGGTGTGGGACAGGGGAGACTTGGAGATGCTTGCAATAGATACTGCTGTTTCTCACCGTGATGATAACGTATCTCACGATGATCGTTGGCCAGTCAAACGTCAATTCCGTCAATCCGACGTTAATTTGGCCCGGTTAGTTTGGCATTGGCGCTATCATCGTCGATTCTATTCAGTCCTCAGACACACAGCCTCGAATCAGATTCGTCGACGTTCGAGGCCGCCCATTGTACGATACGACAGCCATTGTGAGCCGCAGCTAGCTATTTGTTACCAATGGCAATTCACCCTTTCATCAGCAACTCAGCTCGCTGTTGACCGTCCGCCGCAGCCCGTTCTTTCGTCCTACATGTGGCAGTATCACTCTGAAACAGCTACTGTCGAAATGGATCGACGATTCAGTTATTAGTTCCAATTGTTTCACTAGCTCCGGTGATAAAAGCAAGCCAATGCCAAAGCGTGCAGCGACATTAACTGCGCCGGCGCTGCCTAGTGCTCACGCTGCTGCTGCTTCCATTTCCTTTTTTATCTCTACAATATCTGTCTGTATGTGAAAGCCGTTATATGCTAATGAATGTGCGTTGCGTCGTACGATCGAGATTTAACGTGTTATTTTTATTACAGATTTCCGTTCGGCCACACTCACCTAACCATTCTCTTCGCTCACTCGACTCATTTCATAGACTCACGTCCTTTTGTCGGATCTCCCTCGAGGTAGACAGCGCTGGCCGAGTCCCTAGTTGCTCCGGCAGCTGCTGCTGCTGCTGCTGCTGGTCCCTGTTACGAGAGTTTTTGCTGTTGTTGAAGTGTTGTTTTTGATGCCGTTTTTGCCATAGTACCTCTCAGCTGTTTTTGACTAATGTTAAGTTCCTTGTTCTTGATTCCAGTCGTGGCACAATACTTTTACATCATTGTCATCATCCGGTCGATTTTTTTCTTTCTCTCAAACGGTCGCGTATATATATACACACGTATATAATGTGCATATACGACGTGTGCAGGCTTGACTGTCCCCCTATGTGCTCCTCTTAGCTCATCGTAGCCAAAGTTTGTTGGAGGAGCTTAGGGCCAGTGGAGGGTGGACAATGAACCGACTGACTGTAGTGTAGGGCATCAGCTGCCTGTCTACACCGAGCCGCTACCGGGCAAAACAACAACGACAGCAATGACCGTAAGAGCAGCGGTGATACAGGACTTGGCGGTAAAAAATAGGCAACGACGGGCGCGCCACTGCTGCTTATCACATCGCGGATCTCACGGCCGTGAGAGATATGATTTTATCCCTCTGACTGATAAACAATGAGACAGTATAGAGAGCCGTGGAAAGAAGGAGAAACACAAAAAAGCATCACCATCGTCGTTTAATCTGCCGCCTGCTGCCCCAGTGACTTCGTTTCGATATTGAAGTGCATGCACTGAAAGCTTAGCCAAGATGTCTCACTGAGAGTGAGCACATGAGATGAGGGTATATTCGAACAGCGAATGGCGCACAAGCAGCGGCATTTTCAGCTAGCACGCGCGCGGAAGGTAGCCCATTGCTCGCTGGAGTACCTTCCCGCAAATGTATTTCTGCTAGCGTGCTTTTTCTCTTCTTTCTTTTGATCTTCTGCCTCTGACTATCTTTTGCTATTACTGGCGTTTCCCTAATCTCGCAATATATGCTAGTTATTGCATGCTGGACACCATGATACCATGAGATCAGCCTATAGGTTCGAGCCTCCCTTAGAAACAGAAAAAACGGCGGTTTCTTTCATTTACCGCAGAAGTCCTCTAGCCCGACCTAGCCCGTCTGAAGTTCAACAAATTAATGCACTCACAAAACTTTAAAGAAAAATCTAAGCCAATTTGTGCGCCTGCGTACGCCAATCCAGTTCGATCAGATGATCTGACTGTGAAGTAAGATATTTGTTGACTCGAAATCTTGTAGAAGTCTCGAACCACTATTATTCCATTCGTCCCTATTGTTACCGATGCTTTCAACACTGTTCTGTAACCGAACGCGCGACTATCGTGTGCTGTCCGATGATATTTGTTTGTCGTTTCTTCTATGCGATCGACAATGGAAAAAAGATCTATCTCACGTAGTACGAAGGCCAAAGGCCGGAGGAAGAATCTGCATCTAAATTGCAATGAAAGGCCGTTTGACAGCGAAAGATGGTGAGAATGACTGAGACGTTCGGTTCTTCGACGCCTAACCATCGAGGGCGTCGAAACACCGACTTCCTCAAGAGTTGATGAACGAATTAATCGAGTCTTTTTTACGTCAAGTACATCGGCAATAGCGTTGGTCCGGCTGTGGTTTGTTTTGAATAAACTCTTTCTGATTCTCGCTGACATCAAATGCTCCATTCTCTCTGTACCTTGCAAGTTGCCTGCTACATGGGGAGTTCTTTTATGATATTATTATAGTTCTATCACTGTTGTTGGACAATAGAATGACTGTCTTGTAGCAATTTCGTAGCGAAACAGTCATACTGAGCTGCTTGCAAAGCCATAGGACTAATCGCCTCTAGTTGACTCCACTACTAACATGTGTTATTCAATTTCTGTGTTTTTTTTTTTTTTATTTCCCCTTTGTTTGTCTCTTCTTGATTTTTGTTTTCGTTGTTGTTCTATTTGTGTATCTCTGCATATTTGTGTCTATCCAATTATTTCTCGTATCCATGAATTCGCACTACAGCTAAGGCAGACTCATCAACTGGTCCGGCATCACCTACACTCCCGACCGGAAACGGTCTTTCACTCGTTCCCGTTTCGTCAAAACCGAGCCACCATTCAGCTTTCTCAGCAGGACTGGATCTGAAGCCATCTATGGAGATCATACCGGCCCCTTCGTTGACCGTCGCTGGGGCGCCATTGCATCACGCTAGCCAGCTGTTAAATGGAGGAAGTCTTCACGCAGCTCTCGCTGGAGCAAACGGCAACACAGGCGGGGGTAGCAGCAGCGCCGCCGGTGGTGGCGGGCCTCTCAATGGGGGCGCCATCGTGTCGGCTGTCTCAAGTAGCCCCGTACCCCCTGCCTCAAGTGGCTCCAGTACCGGTGATTCGCCTCCTAATCCGCTCGAGCTATTCCGACGCATCCATGAGCTTAGCTTGTCCCAGAAATTGATGCTGTTCGGCGCTGCGGCAGGAGCCCAGGGCCCGCCGTTGAGTACGCATCCAGGTCATCACCCCGCGACTCACCGGGCACCCCTCATGGACTCGCCGATTTCGTCCGGCAAGCCAGCCGGCAGGTACCGATGCGAGTTCTGTGACTATCACGCTGTAACGCCGAGCCATCTTCGCAGGCACCAGAGGACGCATACTGGTCAGTAACTCGTACCGACAGACTCTATCGACTGTATTAGGAATGGCTGCAGGAATGACCAGTAACATTACTAGGTTAGGTAACGCTGCAGAGGGCTTCCGCCGAGTGATTGTTCATCGTGCGTCAATTATTTGGACAGGGAGACTTTAGGCTAAAATACAATAAGTAGGTAGAGAAATAGAAATTTCAAGGATAATGGGAGTTTAAAAAGATCCCATCTGTAAAACGTTTCGTAGGTTTTTTGCTCAATAGTCATAAGTCTATAATCAGGCAGGACACAATATTAATGACTTTTTTTTTCTATTTGTCTTTGAAAATCTGTTAATTGGTCCTAATTTAGGCGAGAGGCCCTACGAGTGTAACATCTGTAGCCGTCGCTTCACCCAGAAGCCATCGCTCAAGAGTCACCTGTCCACCCAGCACGGAATCTCGTAAGATAGCGCACGCATGCCATCCAGCGCCAAGATTGTCTAGCGACGAAATTGGCATCTCCAACGGCAAGGTCATCCGTTACCACTACTTCTTCTAACGAAACATTTAGCGTTACCCGTTTGTACAATTTGCCATGCGCTCACGCTGGGGTCGTTGAGGCTACAGATAAGCGCAGTGAAGGAACCGCCTTGGCTTGTGTACACGGATTGACTTTGCGGCTAGTGCAGCCTACCTCTCAGCCAGGTTTAACGATAGATGCTCCTTGCGACCATTGTACCGTATTCGTACATGTGTATCTTCCTCTATTTCAATCAGTAAAAACAGATTTCAACGTATTCCTCCGCTCGACATCCACCCCCGATTGAAACCAATCGACGACCGAACCGACCGCAGATTGGGTTCTAATATTGCAGTTCGCTGGGTAAACCCGTTACATTCTATCTCTGCCGCTGATTGAACTGCGAGCGATGGAACCGATTTCACAATAACAATATGCAAATCGCTTACGTTGCGTCCTGGCTTCGGGGCCATTGAGAACAACGGCCAGAATATCGAATCTCTACGGGATGACCCATGTTTGTTGCTGATTTAGACCTGATCTTTCTGCACGCAGAGCTGATGTGCTCGATGCTGTTTAGGTGCAGGTTGTTGGCCTGATTTCGGCCGGCGGGTCGTGGTGCGGATTTGCTGTATACGCTGAAATGTTCCGGTCGCCTGTCCTCGCACAAGCGACCTCGTACTACTACTACTACTACTACTACTACTACTACTACTACAACTACTACTACAACAACTACTACTACTACTACTACTACTGCTACTACTACTACTACTACTACTACTGCTACTACTACTACTACTACTACTACAGCTACTGCTGCTATTAAGGTGTCGGTGTTTCTGTTGTAGCTTTGTAAGGGGAAAAGCGGCCCCCGCCACCACGCGGTCCAGGCATGACAACAAGTCGAGAAGTAAACTCCGGCTCGCGTTTTATCTGCTACGCAAAATGGATATCGTCGGCGACTTACCAGGCCTGCCTGACAGCTCGTTATTAGCCCTCTGGATCGCAGTTTCGGATGATTCCAATCGATATAACAGCTTCAAGCTTACTAATAACAATGAAACTGGACAAAAGCAAGAAGTCGACGCTGAAGATCTTCAGAAGATAGCTACTCGACCACAATCCGCACTCTACGAAGTGCTACAATCACAAGCGTTAGCAATATTTGCATTAATACTGTCACAGTTAAGATTGTATGATAACTACTTAATTAATATCGATACGCCAATATCTAACTGCGACGGCCTATTACGTGTGAGCTAGTGTCCTGTAACAACAATATTTATATACAACAATTAGTACACTACTACAGCTGTGCTCCGTCGTAATTAACACCTACCAGAAGCCAACCAGATTGTCCATAATTAATATTGCTATCAAGTCCACAACCGCCACAGTTACATTGTTTATTTTCCTGCAGACGGTCCTCAGTGTTCTCTAGAAGTTATTCTATGAAGGATCAGCGGTCGGATCGGTCAATTGAGTTTCGCAGAACTCCGGCCAGGACCACCACTGACGCCTCGTGTCTTGATCTCATTCATCTACCGTACTGCTCATACTAATGAATACGACTCTTGTACGATTTTTGTATGTCCATGGTATTGCTAAACTGCTCATAAATCATGTTTACTCATTCAGCTCGACACTCCTCATATCGTCAGTCACGTACATAAATGAATAGGTCAATTGAAAACTAGCGAAATAGCTGATTGCGCTGCTCTATAATAATAGATCTATGCAGCAATGAATTGCCCCCATTGACCCCAATTATAATCTATTCAATCGTCGGCACACAGCCAGTATCTTCTGATATGGACGCATTTCCAGCACCCCATTGGTCGATCCGTGATTAAGTGATAAAATGATACTGACCATTATCTTTCAATCCATTGCTGCAAACGCGTGCTGCTCGTGCGAATAATAAAGCAATAATGATTTGATACTAGATCCGATAGCGTGCAAATGAGTCATTTAGGAAATCAAAAGAACCATCGTTAAAGGAACAAATTGATTTCGTTCTGAGTAAAGAAAAAAAATTGCTAGGTCTGGTAGTTTTAGCCATTCGACACAGATAAGCGAATTGCGTTCAACGGAACTGCTAGCATGCCTTGTAACTGCAGCGGTAACAATTATAAATGTTGTATATGTACAGCGTTTTCAGCCCCCCCCCCCCTTCCTTCCCTTCCCTTCCTTTTCCTTCCCCTTACCCTACCCCTCTGGAAAATCACCCCTGTAATAGACGGGCCTTAGCAGATCGTCCATTGTGACGGTGGATTTAAAATAAACATCTGATCGCTTCTACCAATAGCCACTAGTACAACGATTACGCTAACACCATTCATTAAACTACCTATTCCTACATGTAACTGCTACACACCTAGAGTTCACCTGCGATTCATACTGCTACTAGGCTCGTTTTCGCACTAGCTGCAATTCAACACCTTAAAACTGAGGCGATAAAACCTAACCTGCATTTTATGACGAACAAACAAAAAAAAGCGGGAAAATAAACATGTTTTTCCTTGCTGCAGGTAAACATGTCGATACTTGACGTAACGATAATAGTAATAGTACCATAGAGATGAACATCTCGGAAGAACTCGAGCAAATCAACACTATCGAGTCGCCATTCCCGAATTAATGATAGAAATAGAAATGACAAAGAAACATACCATCCAGTAACATCTAGGTTCTGAGAAAGTAACATGAAGAAAAAAAGAAGTTCACGTTCTCATACCGGTTAGAAAATGACCAATTTGTGAACAGGAGCTACGAAATACACGGCGATTATGTATGAGCCTTGGATCCATGGCCAGGTCCTCCTCCTCAGGCCCAGCCAGATCTCGTCGCGGACCTAGTCCACATTCCATTACAAAGCGCAATCGTGCTAACAAACAACTATTATCTCACGAGCTGAACACTGCCAGTAAAATACCTATGATGAAGATGGGCGAGAGTGAGAGAAAAAGGGAGAGTGATAGAGAAAGCCAGAGCGGCGAATCAAACGAGACACCTTGTACTAGATGACAGACAATATTTGAGACGGCTTCAAAAGAGAAAGTACCACACGAGAATTAATGATAATTCGAAACTACTTCACCGAACTCCCGAGACCCGACCGCAAACAGGATACTGTATAACAAAGCGTATAGGCAACTGACGGTGAAATTTATGCCGAAAAAGAATTAACACGCGGACGATCGATGACGACACACGGCCAACTGGCGACATACGACTATGGAGCAAATTGAACGAAAGTTCACTGAATGTAGGCCAGAAATAGAAAATAAGCGGATCAATTTGTCCGAGAGAAATGTACCTATTTGTCGGAAAGCTATCCCTACAACAGACAGAACAAATAGAAAAATACAACGGTCACGAGACGCCAATTAGTGCCAAAATGCGGTCGATATAGTTGAGGGTCAACTAGAGGTCATCGACATGAATCTAACGTTACGTCGATACGCTGGATAGCGTACAGGACGATATAGAATACGTTGATAGGCGGCGACGTGCAAGGCCTATACGACGGAATTGTCGTCAATACGAATATAAACATGGTTAGTTCACCCACTAATAATAACTACTATTGTCACACAAAAAAAATATCCTTTTTTATATTAGTGTACAAGATCGTGTGTACGTACACGAGCAGAGGCAATCGAAGTGAGGGTGTGCATCGATATATTATATGCACATAGAGAATACACGTACTGTGTACGAATCGATCAAGCAGCCGAGTAAGGGTGTAACCATTAACTCATCAAACACACAGGTCAGGTTGTCGGATCTGATAGTTCGGTGACGAGTATTTGTCGCTGCAGCTGCTCTGTAGCTACAGAATTTGCATAGGCCCTTTCGTATCTCATCTCGCTCCCACGGTATGATTTGAACGACTCAGAATTTTTAGACAGAGATGTAGTGTCTTGCGATGATATCGGTATAGTTTTTCATCTGACCAGCATACATATAATAGGATAGGAATCGACTGATCTACCTCAGGTGTCCTGTTCAGCATATGAACGCAATGCTGGCCACCACAGTAGTGGCTGTGTAGTCGTTCGACGTAAGAGCGGACCCCGGCCGATATTCCCTGATGGTATCTTATTAGCCTAATTTGTCCTGCTTATTATAACTCTACAATATAATCCGACATCAGATCGCAGCAACAACAATGGCTGTAAGGTTGACGATGAGAATGAGAACTGGTTTCACTCTTACGACGCCAGCTAATTACGACAAATGTGCATACTCTCGGCGAAAATTCGCTTCTTCACACAGTCCGCGTTCGTTCGTTCGTTCGTTCGTTCGTTAATAGAGACGACAAATTTCGAAGAAGACACGATAGCTGTAGAAATCCCTAGTAGTCCTTGGAGTAATGATTTCGAAGATGATAACTTCTCGAAGACGCGTCAATGAGTCGCCAATCGCAACTTGTTCTCCTAGTTAGGTTATTTCCGGAGCGTATCAAAAGGCTACGGTTGTGCAATTCGTTCAGGGGGAGACGACGATGGAACTATGAAACATGGGCGACTGATAACAATGACAAGTAGAGGTCAATAATAGTAGTACCCTACTAGGAGATGACTAATGGACATGATGGGTGGATAAGGATCACGAAATATATATAGCGAAAAGAAAAGATAATGGACAAATGAGATTAATTGCAAAATATTATTAATGATAATTATTACTGCGACAATGATTATGCACTATAATAGTAATAATAATAATAATAATAACTATAATAATAATAATAATAATAATAATTATTATTATTATTATTATTATTATTATTATGATAATACCGATTGATTGATAATGATAAAGCCTATTGTCATTATTACCACTATTACCGCTGATATTTCCCACGGAGTGGGCATGATATGAGATCGATACACGCTATTACTATTATTACCATAATAATAATTATTATTATTATTATTATTATTATTACAAACAGTAAGCGCTATTGTATGATATGATGCTATAATGGAGTAAGTGAGGTGTTAATCTCAGCATTAATTTACTTAGGGGCGAAAGAAAAATCGTGAATACATTGGTGCATTTAAGGTCTCTGGAAACGCCATTCATCTGACAGGGACGACAGATATATATATGTGAGTGAGTGAGTTAGTGAGTGAGTGAGTTAGTGAGTGAGTGAGTGAGTGAGTGAGTGAGTGAGTGGATGGGTGAGTGTGTGTGCGTGTGTGTATCTGTAAGACAGACAGACAGACAGACAGACAGACAGACAGACAGACAGGCAGGCAGGCAGGCAGGCAGACGATAACGGCGCTGCCGATTAGATTTATTATTAGTGATGAAATGAAGACGATGATACTGCCGATAGCGATACTGAGTAAATAACAACAACAACAACAACAGCAGCGGTGGTTGGCTGGCGATGGTCGATTATTCGGCACGAGATTAAGATATGAGTGGTTCAGTGGCCGGCTGTTGCTGTGTCTTCTACATTCTGTGTGTGCATTGCGATACATGTGTATGTGTGTGTGTGAGTGACGTGGGATACTGTGGGATACTGCCGATATTTGGGTGTGGACACGTTCGATTACAGCCCGTGTCTTATCCTGGCCCACAGCAGCGTGAGTGTCCGGAGAAAGGGCTCTTTACAAGCGAAAGTCGTTCGAAAAATAGTACCGGGACTAAACCTACGGAATGGGAATTATGTCAGCGTTCAGGCACTTTTTCAATCTAGACTCTGTCGATTTCACGCGTCTGGTCGGCGAT